CCATAGGTGATTTCGTTGTAGAAAAAGAGGAGTCTGGAGAAGAAGCGACGATGATCATGCAATCAGCGGCAGAGGAGTCCGGAGAAAGACAGCGAGAAAGAAAGAGGGCTCGAGTTGCGGTGGACAGAGTCAATTCCGGCGAGATCGGCAACTACAATGCTGATAAAGAAAGAAACGATTACAGATCAGAGGCTGTCCGGCGAAAAAGGTGCCATTAGAAGGAGGCAACAACAACATCAGAAGGGGCTGAATCGGAAAACATATCTGAAGAAGTGGTCAGCCAAGGAGGAGGCAGAAAGCTCAGAGGAAGGGGTCATCTGAGGAGGATATAGAAGTAGATGAGGCAGTGTAAGAAACCGATGAAAGAGCTCTAGTTTGATGTCGATGGCTATTTTATTATTTAGGCGGAAAAGAGAAGAAAAAGAAAAATATGGAACATAATGAAGGCACCCCCGACGACTATTAGAGAAGGTCGACGGAGGTGGAAGGCGGTGGTCGTGGGTTGTGGTCAGCAGCAGGGTTTTAACCTAGAGCTCTGATACCATGTTAGATAATGGATTGATTGATTCTCAAAAGACAATTACATAAAAATATATAGAAAATACCTAAAGATAATGGCTAAACCCTAAAGGGCTTGGGCCTAAACCTTAATCATTAACAATCTCAAATATATAAACCCTTCATTTGGATTTGCAACGAATGACTTTTTCTTGTTACACTCGATCAGCATCATCATGGCAGATAACCAATTATACGTACGTGAAATTTTTACATCTACTTTTTATTTATGAAGAGTAATAAGTGTTCACGATTTTTATGATTCATTTTGTTAGGGTTCCTCCGTCCTCGAATTGTTCACCAATTTATGGTTGCGAGAGAATACAATCAATCTGCATTCAAATTCTTTCAATAATCTGAGATGGTTGCTGACATTAATAATTCACATATCTCATAAGTATATATCTCATATCTGATTTTAACACATTATAAATTACTACTATTACACTTAATTAAGTAGCTAGATATAACCAGTTGTTTTTTTTATTATTATTTTAGAATTCATGCCTTCGTACTTTCCTGGTTGCTGAACCATAATATACCCATAACTGCTCAAGTGTACGCTGGTGAAACAGGCTTCTTTTCACCTCCTCCTCCTCCTCCTCCTCCTAATAATGGAAATATTCAACCGCCGCCATTTGTCGATCCACTACCACCGGTGCCAATGGCCCATCCTATCCAGCCTCCCAACGATCCTCTTCCACAACTTCCATTTGATGGGGCTAACCAGAGATGTTACATATTCATAGATGATACATTCAGAAGGTTCTACTACGATTGTGTTGAACCGGGTTGTCCATCCAAGAAACGTGTCGACGTAGCTTTTGCAACCTACCAAGTGATAGTGTTTACACATCACAACCATTTACAACCTATATATATATATATATATATATAGATATATATATATATATATATATATATATATATATATATATATATATAGGAAAAATGAATATGTGGCTGTTACGTACCTCGCTTTGGTATAAAACATTTTAAACAAGATAGTTTTAAACAAAACAATTCCCATTTCATTTTGTCTTAATTTTGTTTTAATAGAATACCATTGAACGAAGTTAAATTATGGAATTAAAACTATCATTTACATATCTTTTTATTGTAAAAATTCATCGAAGTTTATAGAGAACATAAAACACCAATAGTTTTTTAATGAATATAACTCAAATGTTTCCTCCTTTAATTGAAAAAACTATATCCAATGATTTATGAAAACCTTAATTGATTTATTTGTATGTTCTTATTTTATCTTTATTCTATTACTTTTGATTTAAAATTTGGTAAGACTCATACATGGTAATGAACTTTTAATGCTTTATGTTGTTAGATACAATGAAGAAAAAGAACATAAATTTAATCGTTTTAGTAATTCACGTGATTAAGGAAGAATAGTAAACAAAATATCATGATTAGTTTAGATATAAATGGATCAAAATTGCATAGTTTTGAGGGTTCTGTATATAAGCTTAGGTACATACATATTCCCTAACCAACTATATAATATTATATAATATATCTATATATATATATATATATATATTATATATATATATATATATAGATGTTGGTTCCTTTGAGATAAAAAAAAAAATTAGAGATTGTGAGATATGTGTATAACCGTTTGATGTGCTTATGTTTGTTTCTGAAACTATGCGGTGACATATTTGTAATTATATTGGTAACTTATTAAACTAACGCTGTTAATTTACGATTGTGGGGCTATTGTTGTAATTTTACAAGATTGATATGAATTTTGCAGGCTACGATACTGTAACCGCCTATTGTTTTCTTTTCTTTCTCGATCAAAGTCTCATTTCGAACTCTCAGGAAACCCTCTTTTTCTTTCTTTATCGAATTTTGCCCTAGTTTTCGTTTCTTACCTGTTATTGAGAAATCAGTAAATGTCTTCAAGAGAAAATATAAACGAAGTCGCATCTTCGTTAATCGAAATGAAAGATTAGAATGCGAGTTATTTTTCATTTTATTGATAATGTATGTTTTTATTAATTAGTTAACTGTCGTTTTATGTTGATAATGGTGTTTTTTTGTTTTGATTCAGTAGGTTTTTCGTCATTTTAACTTGATTTTGATGATTGTCTCGGTTTAGAGTTGATATGTTTTTTATTATGTTTGTTTGTGGTGGTTTTGATGTAAGTTTTTGTTTATATTTTCACAGATAAGGATTTCAAAAGAAACTATGTTCGAAAAAAAATTCAAAAATCAAAAAAATATCGAATGCGGTAGAAGTGCTGTTATTTCCGAAGGTACAGTTCAAAAAAAATCATATATGATTAGAAGTAGAAATAAACATATAACTTAATGTTTGAAGTTATTTGTTGTAATCATAACTGATTTTTTGATTTTTCCAGTGTATTGAACATAACATTTAGTTATATGTTTATTTCTACTTCTAATCATAGATGATTTTGTACGTTTGTTTATAATCATTGGTAAATAGTAATGATAAATGTATTTTTATGTATCAAACATGAATATAAATTTATTTTTGTAATCATAACTGATTTTGTGGTTCTTTTAAGTGGATTGTATATAACTTAGTTGTATTTTATTTATTGTTCTAATCATAAATGATTTTATACATCTGTTTATAATCATTAGTGAATAGTAATGATAAATGTATGTTTTATTTTTACTAACACTATGTTTTCTAATGAAAATTGTAGTTAAAAAAGGGAATGTAGATAGCTCAAGGAAGACACGGTCATCTTCCAAAAGAGAAAAGGCGAATGAGGTGTCGCAAACACGTTCAAAGACATCCAAAAAAACAGTTATTGAACAACCAAAAGTGAAGATGAGGGTTTAGGTCAAAACTGTAAGTAAGAAACGTGAACTATCTGATGAAGATGATTCAGATTTTCAGAGTCGTCCTGGATCTTCAAAGAAACCAAAGAGAGAAACTAAAGTTTTGAAGAAAGATAAAAAAGCTGCTGTTTATAAAAGAATTTCCTTCATTGAAGAATAGATGTTCACCGGGTCATTGTGGGTGTTATTCAAGGTTTAAGGGAGAACAGAAGGATTGTGTTAGGGATATGGGATTTGGGAGTTTGTTAGGGATGAAGATGATTGACGTACGTTGAAGATTGTTTATTATGTTCTTGATCATTTTAATTTTGAATCTTTGAAGGTGGAGTTTGATAATGTGAAGTTAGTGTTTATAGTAAATTTGTTCAAGAGATGTTAGGATTACCATCTGGTGGCTCATTACTTTCAAACATGGATTACATTTCGGAGAATAATGAAGAGAGCTGTGTTTATGTTTGAGTGGAAGAAACAGTATGAAAATATTGATAAATGAGATTGATTGAAACAACTAAAGAATGAACTTGTTCAAACTAGTGCTGCGGATGACAACTTCAAAATCAATTTTTTGGTTCTTTTTATTAATACTTTCTGTGAGTCTACAAGCATGGGTAAATGTAATCTGAATCCATTGTATTTAATCAGAAGAGATACTGATTTAAGTAGCATTGACTGGTGCGATTACATTATGGATTGTTTGGTAAGGACGAAAAGGTTTACAATCCAGAGAAAGAATCTCTTTCTTTTATGGACCAGCAGCATACCTTATGGTACGTGAGTTAGTTTTGATATTTTTGTTCTTTTTAGTTGTAAAAATATGTTATTTTTTTAATAATCATATATGATTTTATTACATATAATGATATATGATTATGTAGTATAATTTTGTTTAATATATATTACACATCAAAATCATATATGATGTTATATATGTTTTTTATAGTTGTTGTATGTGGATACTTTCAAGTTTGATCATTTGCAAGTCACACGTAAACGTCCAACTATTTTTTATTGGACGTCAGAGAAGATAAGGTTTCTTGAGGATATTTTAAGAGAGTGGAGGATTTGGATGTGGACATGTTAATGAAGCATATGTGAAGAAGAATTTCAAGAATCTGAGTTAATGAGGAGGAATCTGGTGGTGATGAGGTTGAATCTGATGGTGAAGAGGATTTATGTGATGAGGATGAAGAAGATTTTGATGTTAATAAAGTTAGTGATGTGGAGGTAATTCTATAGTTTTATTCATTTATGATTTAATTAGTTTATTCATTTATGACTTTTTATGTTTAAGTATTTTAGTTGTAAGTATCTTTTTTCTTATGTAGGTGTATGAAAGTAAAATTTCATGTATGTATCAGAAGATGGAGGATTTGAAAAAGGATCTTGTTGTAAAGATAGATGAGGGAGTGTTGAAGTTTCCTCAAAGTCAAAATTTGAAAAATTGGAAATTATTATTTCTGTTGAAGATTTACGCACAGAAAGTTTTGATTTCATTATGTTTCACAAAAATATAAAGAACCGATATTAACACCTGGTTTTGTTCAAGTTAATGATGAAGATTATGGAATGATTTTCTTAATGATGATGAAATGTGGAAGATTATGATCAAGGGAAAATTTCTGGTGGTCAGGGGGATGGAAGTGGTCCACATGAGGGCAATATTGGTAAAAATCATGTTGAAGGTAAAGGTGATGATGATGAAGATGATGACAAGGAGAACTGGAAGTGGATGTGATAAAGAAGAGGCCATGAATTTAAATCTGTTGTCGAAAATGTTACTAAGAGTGTGGGTCTAATTGATAGCCAGGAAGGTGTATCTTTTAGTCAATTTATTTGCGATCCAGTTGTTGAAAGTTTTCTTAAAACTTTGGATCAAGGTAGGCATATTTTATTATTATATATTACTTAATCATATATGATTTTAATTTTTTATATTTGATTTTATAGGTACTGATGGTTGTTTAAATCAGAAACTAGTTCAAGATGATGTGAATTTGAATTTGACTGGTATTGATGATGGTAAGTATTTATTTTGTATTTTTAATATGTAAAATATTATTAAATTGTTATATAGATGATTCATTTATGATTTTAATAATTTAGGACTGTAAATTTGGGTGAGGATGATCATAAAAATAAAGATGGAGGTAATTTGTTTATAATTATTGTTTATTCATATAATTGTGTTTATAATTATTGTTTATTCATATATGATTTTATAATTTTATTGGGCAGAAAATGTGAAGATTGTTCAAATAAAAACAAGGATTCAAATGAGACTCGATCATTGAAAAATGATATTGTTCCAAGTTTTAGTCTTGGATTTAGTCAAGATTCTGAAGGTTCCAAGAAGTCATCTCAAAGTCAAATTTCTTCTGAACGGATGACAAAGAAAAAGAAAAAGATTAAGGATAGAGTTATTTTGAGAAAACCAAGTGTTGTCCAGAGTGTGTTATTCCAAATGTTGATGTTATTGATGCTAGTCCAGTTTCTTTTGCACCCCCTTTGGGTACATTAGAAGGACCATCAAAACCTGTTTCTGGCAAACCTAAAGATATAAATGAAGAAGCAACATCAGTAGTGGATATCAAAGGAAAGAGACAAATGAAGTTTTCTTATGTTTATAAGTCACCATTTAAGGAAAGGTTAATTGATTTTAAACCTAGTTTGACACAAGTAGAAAATGTTGTTTGTGAATGGCTTTTCAATCTTCAAGGAAATCCAGGGTAATTTTTTAATATAATTTTTTATTTTTATAATTATAATTTTTATTTTAAATAACATTTAATTAAATATATACAGGGATATTGTATTGCTTATGGAAACAGATGTTATTGGTTTTAGAGCTAATTATGAAAGTCTTTTTAAAAAAACCCATTTGCATGTTAGTGTTCTTGATTCATGGTCTCGTATACTAAATCATCAAGAGAAATTCAGAGATGTTGTTAATTCTCCACTCAGATTGTTCATGAATTCTGACACTGTAAGTTTTTATTTATTCTTTGCTTTTCATATGTTGATAATCATTAATAATTTTTTTTATTAAATATTACATGTTATTATATAATCATTTATGATTTTCTTATATTACAGACTGTCATTTGAATATACTCATTTGAATGAAACTGCAAAATATAAAGTTTTCAAGGACAGCTTCTCTCGCAGTGTTTCTGGTGATAGAGACTTGAAGGTTTTGAAGGATGTTGATATGGTATATTTATTTTTTTATACATTTATATATATATATATATATATATTATATATATATATATATATATTTTTATTTATAATATTATACATGTTGATGTTAGGTATTTTCCCGATTTTGAGGCATAAGCACATATATCTTATTGTTATGAATCTGAAGAAGAAAACGTGCTTTTGAGGTTATCGATAATGGTGCAGATGATGTTGATTTCGATGATAAGTATGGTGCAGTTTTTAAACCTCTTGTAAGTTTCAAATGATATTTATTCTTTAGATTTGAAATCATATATGATATGTTTTATAATTATTATACTTATATTTTTCTGACTTGAAATCATATATGATTTTCAGAAAAAGTCTTTTTTGAAGTATCTAAAAGAGATCGATCATGTTAAAGCAAATGAATGGCTGATAAAAATCTTACTCCAGTAAGATTGACAATGCCATGGAGGACAGTTTATAACAAAGTGGATTGTGGAGTTTTTGCTATGAGACATATGGAGAGTTATTTTGGAGAAAAAAGGTTCTAAATGGAAATGTGGTCTTCCAAAAGAAGGTGTGTTCTCAAGAAAAAATTCTGGAAAGTTGAGAATGAAATATGCAGCAGCAATTTTAACTTCTGAGATTAATACAAACGTGATGATGTGTTGAAAGCTGCATATGAGTATCAAAAAGTTGATCAAAAGATTCGTGGTAAGCATTCATATGATGCTCAATGGAATATACAAAGAAGGCTGTCAAATTTTTTTGATTGAATATTTTCTTATTGATGATGTTATAAGAACAAGTTTGTTTATGTTGTGTATGTTATGGATATTGTGAAGAATGTTTGTTTTTATGATGATGGAAAACATGGTGATAGAAAACAAGCCAATATGTATTTTGGTGGATTTATTTGTAAGTTTGTTTGTGTGAATTATGTTATTGAATGTTAATCATAAGTGATTATGTTATATTTTTATATGTAATTTATGTTTTAGTATTGATTATATGTGCTTATATTAATCATTAGTGATTGTATCGATTATTTTTTTTATGTTTTGTAATCATAAATGATTATATTTGTTGTACAACACATTATAATTTATTATATCTTTTCTTGATAAGTGAGCTTATCTTTACTGCATGGAATACATCACCATGCCAGATCTTATCTTTGTAAGATTTTATTTTGTTTTTTAGTGTTTGTATGAAGAATCTTTCTTTATAAATGAAAACTGATTGTTACAACCATATATGTATTTTGATAAGTGATTATGTTTGTCTAAAGGGGTAAGCTTGGTGCTATTTTGATTATCTAATCAACATGTTCCTTATTTTTTTCAAGATTCTTGTTCTTTTATTTGTAGCTAGATTTTCATACAGATTGTAGCTGACTCCAAGAACGCCTCTTCCACCATTACTTAAAAAGTTTATCTTCATTGAACATATCAGATCTTTACTAGATGTCTTTGAAGTAGAGGAATGTTGTTCATTTAAAGAATATTTCTTTTTAATGAACAACATTTCTCTACATCAGATATGTAGTAAAGATTTGTTATGTTCAATGGAGATAATCTTTCTAAGTAATGGTGGAAGAGTTCTTGGAGTCAGCTACAATCTGTATGAAAATCTAGCTAGGAATATGAAGAACAAGAATCTTGGAAAATGGGGAACGTGATATTTGAGACTTGTGAAATTGTTTGTTATTGAAGATTTTATCATGTTTGATGTTATTCTATTATGATGAATATTGTTATCTTTAGATTTTTATGAGCAGTGTTGTATATTTGTTAGGAACGATGTTGTTGTATATGGTTATATGTAATGGTTAGATGTTTTTTATGTGTAATCATATTTTTAATCACTTATGATTAAACAAAACATGAATGAAGTAGTATTACATAATATTTTTATGATTATACAGATGAATATTGTATATGGTTATGTGTAATGATTACATGTATTGAATAATAGTTATATGTAATCTTAAATGCTTGTAGTAACATTTAATAAAAGTTTAATCATGAATGAATATATATCAAATCAAAGAAAGAATTATCAACGTAGATTAAATCCAGTAGACAAAATCATAGTAAATTTGTTTTATAAAAGAGTAAAGTGTACTAAACAAAAAGTATATTATTTTGAAAAAAATTCATGACTTATTCATTACTGATTTAAAGCAGTAAATATCTATGTAGCTTTTGATGATTGTTCTGCTGCAAGTTTGATTGGGCATGTCCGCAAGTTATGAGGAGCCCTTTCTCCACATCCTGAGCATCTTCTTGTTTGCTTGTTTGAATTTTTATACGCTATTTCTGCTGCACTTTGAATTCTACTTTTCTTTCCGCATCCTTTATTGCTTTGAACATTTGGAACATTGATGTCAATGTCTTTTGGAATAGATATGCCCATAAGCTTTTCTACCTCTTCAACATCTGTCCTATTCTTCTGCAATTCATTTGTAGGATCGTTTTCATATTCCTTCAGCATGCTTTCTGTTTTCTTAACAAACAAATCCATTTTTTCTTTATTTTTTCTTACGTATTCCAAACATGCTTCAAAGTTGTAGTATGCTGATTGACAGATCTGTTAATTTCACTGTCTCCTGTATCATATACATGTCTACCAAAATTATAATCCTTGATATCACATCCTTTCTCCAACGATTCTCAACGTACTGTTCAGGTATCTCCTTAATTCCATGTTTCTGAGTATGTTGAATGCATGTCTGCCACAAAGTCCCAAGCGGTTGAAGTGTTCACAAGTAATTTTACATCATTGGTTGGAAGTTTTATTTCTACCTGTTCAAAAGCGGTTAAAGCATTAAGTGTTTTATAATCATAACTGAATATTTTTTTATATTATGTGCTGATTCAACAAAATTTAAAATAAGAATATATTACCTCAAATTCTGTTTTTAGATCACTGTTTTTGTTCAGTTGTTCCACTTTGTATAACTCCCATCCATTTTTTGTTCCAAGATGTTCGTATTGGCAGTACCAGGAACCTTATAGATTTCTTCTGTACTTCATAAAACAATGTACTTGTATAAACTTTTGCAGCATTGTTTTCATTGGTATGGTGAAATAAATTTATATACCGCCTTCTTTGTTTGATGATCAAGCTCCTTTGTGTATTTCTTTGTTTTGAATTGCTTGTCATAGTTCATCATGAAATGTAAAAGTAAATTTAGAGTGAGAGGTAAGTGTTGAAGAAGGAATTCATGCTTTCTGATCTTGAAGTGGTTTCATCAATCCAGACATTCTTGTGTCACTGAAGAGTATGCAGGTATCCATTGTCACGTAATTCAAACATATCATTGACCATTTTTATCTTCCAGATTGAATTCTTTAATAATCAAATCCCACTTCTTTTAAATTCATCGTTTGATATGCATGTTCCAAACAGGCTTGTTAAATCTTTTCTTGAAGTCTTTGTTTTAAAT